ACATTTTGGACAGAAGTCAATCAACACGCTAATTAAATTAATATTTATAATAACAGCTCAACTTGTTACAAACAGAGTCATCATTATGACACACGCTATTGAGCAATTATCGTCTGGTTTGTGTATTTCACACGTCTTAAGGGAACAGACGAAAGAACAATATTAGTCGAGATAAACAAAGGATAATAGTGTGAAAATAACTGTTGGGGCTGAATTTTACATAGACATACTGAAATATCGAAATAAAAATATCGAGATAAACAAAAAAATCCAATATAGATAAAGAAGGAAGAAAATCAGGACTTTCAAAATTTAATCGAGATAACGAATATCAAGAAAAGCGATGTCGAGATAACGATAGTTGACTGTTATAAAGAATACAGTGCCGGCAAATGATAATAAATCCAGTGGCTATGTTAAGTCTGATTGTTTACTGAAAGAGAAATTCTGAAAGGAGGTTCTGAATAATTCAAGTTTAAGCAAAAATTCTGTAAAGGTTATTCTTGCATACCAGACTGGCGTTTCCGTTAGTTTTACCCATGCCGGAAATTACATCTGGCAAGGAAGGTGCCAGGTGAGTCACGTGCTATACAATTGCACGCTTAGGATGACGTAATTATACCGTTATAATAATTTCATACGGTGTTGGAAGAAAGTAGCTACGGTTGTAATGACCTGAATTTTCACTGAAAATTAAGATTAAGAATTTAAAATATAATGGAATATGGTAGATTATGCAAGAAACAATATTTGACATATGTTTGCGGTTCGGATCGGATTAATCCGTCCCTCGGTAACCCGCCCATGGGCGGATCACCTCGGGACGGATATTCCGGTCCGAACCGCAACATATGACAGATATTATTAAATATTTTCACTATCATTTTCATCATATTCAGTCTGGTATTTGTCGTTAAAGAATGAGCACGAGAAGTACTGGAATAAATATGAAATTACATGTTTATTGTAGACCTTATTGGAAATGTTGTTGCTAACATTGTGAAAACTTGTAATCCGACCCATTTGGACAATTTTAGGCAATTATTTGTTTTTTTGTATGATTAATGAAGTTATATACAAAACCAATATGTGCACTAATACATATATATATTTAAGAAATAATATCGGTCTGAGCGGTGTTTATCGACTGTTTAGCACCAGTTTGGAGGTTATAAAACTGAAAATGTAATTAAAATGCTTTTACTCATTGTTTTTTTAAAAGGCTTTGTAAACTATATAATCGAGGGAGAAGATGTAACAACCGCATATACAAGTAGTCCCTAAGCAGTTTTTATTGGCAGTTTAACACCGTTTCTTTTCTTCTTTTTCTAAAGTGACAAAATCACGAGGAGTGTTAGAATGTTTAACAATTATGTTTTTACTGATTTTCGTTATTTTTGAAAGCAGAGAAACCATTATTTGTTTACGTTTTTTTGCGTGTTAGTTCACTCTAAACAACCATTGAAACGTCCCAATCCTAGAATAACTTTTTATTCCGTTCGAAGTACAACTCCTGAAGACGTATAACTCTTATCATGGTCCCTTTTCAAGTTACTGTTTTACACTCCGTACATGCCTCAACAACCAAGTATTTCTATTTAGGGCAGTTTTTTTAAATGGATTGCCACTAAATTATTGCCATTTATGATTTAAGAACATTATGTAATGCGTTACTTTTTATATGATACTCGTACATTATGCATTTCGTCGGCTGTTCATATTGTGTGATACAATGTATTATGTTTTCTCTACTTTTTCAGGCGTTTACTGAGTCCATAAGCAACTTGATAGATGACAAGAACTCTGGTAGTTGGAATGCATTAACACAAACTGTAGGTTGATTAACTTTATTTTATTTAAAATTGTATTGATTAGATTTGTATATAATTTAAATATATGAATGTAATTGAAGAAATATCATCACAATTTGTGCATTTTTAGTCCCCTACCGGTTTACCGGAGGGGACTTTAGGTTTACCCTCCGTCCGTCTGTCCGTCTCTCCGTCAGTCCGTCCGTCCGTCTGTCCGTCCGTCCACAAAACTCGATCCCGCGATAACGCAAAAAATACTGAAAATATTTTTATGAAACTTGATATATGGATAGATAGCAGTATGGAGATTATGCACGTCTTTTTTTTCTTCCTATGTTGAAAATTCTGGTTGCTATGGCAACACATAGACTGAAAATATGGCAAATTTTACACATAACCTGGATCCCGCGATAACGCAAAAAGTACTGAAAATATTTTTATGAAACTTGATATATGGATAGATGGCAGTATGGAGATTATGCACGTCTTTTTCTTTTCTTCCTATGCTGAAAATTCTGGTTGCTATGGCAACAAATAGACTGAAAATATGGCAAATTTTACACATAACCTGGATCCAGTGATAACGCAAAAAGTACTGAAAATATTTTAATGAAACTTGACATATGGGTAGATGGCAGTCTGGAAATTATGCACATCCTATTCTTATCTTCCTATCTTGAAAATTCTGGTTGCTATGGCAACAAATAGACTGAATTTCAAGATTTCTGATTTTTCACTATAAGTTTTTTATTTCTTAAGGTATTTTCTTCAATTTTTAAATATAAGTTGCTAGTCATCAACCACATCATATGTGAAAAAGTTTACAACTCTAGCACAAAATTTATCAGAATTGCCTCCCTTAAAATTAAAATTTTCATGAAAAAAATATTGTTGTTTTTAATAACTTTTTTTTCTGAATGTATCTACTTCAAACTTCATAAATATGTTTCTTAATATCACTCAACATTTGTGAGATTCAAGTTCAATAATCTAGCAAGACTATTTCCAGAATTATGCCCCTTTTGAACTTAGACTTTTTTTCGAGAAATTGGTTATTTTTACTCCAACTTCTTCAATCATGATAGGATTTTCTTCAAACTCCCACATCATAATAATATGACAAGGTTTATAAATCTAGAATCCATATTTCCAGAATTATCTCTTCCGTAAACTTTTAATTTTTCTTATTCATTCTTTTAACTTTCATTTACTTCAAATTCAAAATAAATATTCATTATTCATACCTTCATTACTTATTGTTCTTTGTTACACTCACATCATGTATGACATCTTGCATCTTTATTCAAGAGTTGTCTCCTTTTTAAAAATTTTGCTTTTAAAAATGTTATATTTTGATAACAGGGATGTTCAAAAAATAACTGTAGAGTGTCCTTCAGTCCGTCTGTCTGTACATAAAAACTGTTTCCTGTGATCACTTTTAAAGAACTTTTTCAACAAATTTACTTAAAATAGAAACATACGTGAATTGCCAATGGCCCTTCAGAATGTTGCTGGGGTTTTAACCGGTAGGAGACTTATGGATTGCTTGCAATACTATGATAATTGCTTGTTACATTAGAAAATTTCTTGTTTTATATTTATAGAGTAGTAAAGTGGCTGAGAAAATGTTAAGTTCTGTGGACACACTTAGTAATGCAATGGCAAAACGAGTAAATTCTTCAGGAATTAGTTTACCGGCAGTTGTCAAACCTAACATAGGTAATATCTATATTTTCTAAATTTCACCAATTGCTGTAACAGGTCATTTTATAGTCGTATTTCTTTGTATGGCAAAGAGAAGGAAATTAAATAGAAATAGTTTAAGCAAGGACAACGTCGATACCACCATGAAATATATTAGACCTTTCTGCCTTAAATAGAATGCAAGTGCAACACAAATAGTTACTATTACGGTTTTACTGTGTTACGAGTTGTTACGCGTTAAATGATGCCAATTCCTCACAAGTTGTCTCTGAGTAGTTTTGCAAGGTCTGTTTGATATTTCAGCGCTGCACGTGAAAGCAGTGTCATCAAACAATTTTGTTTTCCCTGGTTCTGATGCAGTAGAGGGGACCAGTAGTGATAACTGGATACGAGCAACTAAAAGTCAAATTGATTTTAACACAACTTCTTTTGGAGGTAACTAATAATTATTTTTCAATGTTTTTTATAGAATTGTTTGAGAGAGGTACGTTTATATACTTTTAACATGTGAGTTAGATTCATTCAATAAATTCCTCTGTTTCACTTTTCGAAAGGTACATAATGATATATGTTGCTATCTAAGAGGAGCATAACATTTCATTTGCTAATGATATTATTATTTTTAAAGAAGTTGTAACACACCACTATAATATTGACATGGATTTGACTGGTAAAACTATACATGTTCTCATTGTGAATAAATCTTAAGATTATTACTATTAAACAATTTCATAATAATGCATATATCAGAATCTGTTATACTGCTATATAAAGTTAGTAGGGCGTATAACATTTTGTTTTCAGTAAATATATGGGTACAAAACTAAATCTATTTAACATGCACTGCACTGACCTTTAAGTAAAAATCTTCTATTGCAAAAGTATACTAAAAGCTAAGCAGTTCTCAATAGTTATGTCTGATTTGAATAAGACAATACACAAAATAGGTTTTGAACACTGCATTTCCTGTACCTGGTCAAGTTAATTCGGTCTTTTTTTAAACACTGCTTGTTTTTAGCTCGACTATTCGAAGAATATGAGAGCTATTGTAGTCGCCCCTGCGTCGGCGTCCGCGTCTTATTTATAATAACAATATACATCAGATTGACAAGAATGATAACTCTGCCTACAATATTTACAGAATTGTGCCCTTTTTGTACTTAGAAATTTTGGTAAAAATTATTTGTAAAGTCAAATAACTCAATTATTGCTTGAGATATTCAATTGAAATTTACAATACTTTTTTATAGTACCAATGTACATCAGTTTGCCAAGTTGCATAACTCTGCCTGTAATATTTGCAGGATTATTTGCCCCATTTGAAACTTAAAAAAATTGGTAAAATGTTAAAGATCTTCAAAGATATTTACTTGAAACTTTACACTTGTACTGAGGGTTATAATTGAAGGTCACATCTCAAGATTCATTACTTTGCCATGTATTTTGACTGAATTATGCTCCCTTTTGTACTAAAAAAATCTCCTTTTCTTGGTTAAGTTTAACATGCAAGTTTTGCATATCTCTGAAACTATAAAAGATACAAACTTGAAACTTCATATGTATATTTGTGGTCATAAATAATGTTCACTGAACAGCACTCATATCTGTGTCATGTATTTAGGCTGATTTATTTCGCCCTTTTTTACTTAGTCTCTTGGTTAATGTTTACATGTAAGTTTTACATATCTCAAAAACTATCAAAGATTTTTATTTCGATCTTCACATATGCATTTAGGGTCATTATTGTATGTCACTGACCAAGTTCCATAACTTTATCTTGCATTTAGGCTGATTTTTCTTCCATTTTTCAACTTAGAATTTCATGGTAAAGTTTTGCTTGTTCGCTGTTAAATACTGAAGAGTTTTTGCCTTTTTGGGACAATTTTATGCATTCATAATAATAAAGCAGTGATTTACTTGATAAAACATCTTAATAACAATCCTGTTACCTTTTTGGTCAATTTTATGTATTCATAGGTTAGCATTATTATACTCAATAAAACACCCTTGTGACATCTTTTTCGAATAGTCGAGCCTTACTGTCCTCAGACAGTTCTTGTTATCATTCACATTGAATAACCTTTGAGGCGTAACACATTACATCTGTGAGTACTCAAAAGGTTTTTATTTTACATTTATAATTAGAGACTGTACAGCAATTATCAATATCTTTAAATGTCACATTTAAGCATAATATATCTTTAAAATTGTTTAAAACGGTAGACCTTTCGTTGACAGTAAAAACGAATTTTTAGTGGTGGACATGGAAGACTGTTTGTTCTAGTGTGTTCATAAGCGATTATAAAATATGGAAACTCTCTCGCGCCTATGAGCAACGACTGAAGCCCCCGTGAGCACCGACTAAATCTCACTCGTCGTCCCAATTAGAGTTGTAGTTTACAATGCCATTGAAGACTAGCACATATATAATACATACAGAAGACGGTGTTTATTTCTTTATGTAACTTATGCATATTATGTTTAAGAGGGTATATGTATGAAGAGAACACATTTAAGTGGTTTTAAACTCTAATGCCATCAAATAAAGGAAAGATACAGTCTCGAAGACCCCTTTGAAACATAGCAACTAAGAATGGAAGAAAGTTGTTTACAGCTGCCTCACAGCATTTAAAACAGCGTGCCTCTAATTTCATGTTTATTTTCATGAAGATTTTAAAAAGGTACTTTGAAATAAAATTTTGTGAAGTGAGTAAAGAAAGTTATTTACATATTGCAAAAATAAATCCGGATGTTTCTAAATTTTAGAATTTCGCTTTTGTTGTTTAAATTCTTGAAGTTCCTGAGACATTTTGTGTAAAATTTAGAAACATTTCGTCGATCTTATTATAGGTGTAAGCAACTTTATCCTCGTACCGTCTCATGAACATGGTCAGTCGAATTGAGCCTACAACATTTTAATGTTACCATTTTGGGCGTTCTTAAAGGATTCTCAATGTTATTATCAAATAATTAGGTCAGAAACGTTTTTCATTGTTCAATGATGATTGATCACTTTGTCGAACTTTTTCTTACAGGAGCATCTCAGCAATCAGTAGTATCAGCTGCAATATATAAAGATATTTCAAATATATTGCCGAATAAAAGGTAACATTATATCATCACATCAAGTTATTGACTGTTTGAAATGACAGTATAAGAATGTTACAATCTGATAAACTAACAAAATAAATATGATTTTAGAAAATATTTTGTCTGGGGAAATTTATTACAAAGCAGATTCTTCTTTGGAAAATTTTGCTTATTTTATGGACAACTTACATAGCTGTTAAATAAACCCTTTTTTATTTTCAGTAATAACGAGCAGCTCAATGGTCAAGTTCTGTCATTTTCTACATTACCTCCATTAAGTGGCACTATTGATCCGCCAATCACAATGTCATTTAATCAGACTAATGTATGTACTATATCTAATTTACCACGTACTATTGAGTAAATATTGAAATCAGATAATATATTTTTACAGTACGCAGTGCAGAAAAAAAAATTATATAAGTAAGTAGACATCAGAAAAACACTAAAGTAAAATATGTTTGATCACGAGGAGCACACGGAGATTTGCACTTATTATGTAAAAAATGTAACAAATTCGTGAATTTTTACAGTACAATTTTTCAAGAAATATGTTACGTTATGAAAACAAGCTCAAGCCGTTTCCCTGCAAAACATTGTAAAAAGATTTGGATGTAATTGTTGTTTAATTTTTTTGTTTGTGTATTCAACATATGCGTTTTACTCTAAAATATAAATTCGTTAGAATTGCATTAATATAAGGTTAAAGTAGAGAACTTTTGCCTTTGATAAAACCAATGACGCTTAGCCATTTTCAGGAACAATTGACAAGAGCGACATGCAGTTTTTGGAAATTCGGAAATAGGTAGCAGTTTTTTGATTTTCAACAACCAAACAATTCTGCAATACTTCATTTGGAAAAAAACTTTAACTGTCTGAAAGATTTGTTTTAACTTTTCAAAATATATTTGTCCAGATAATTTCAAAATAAAATAACAATTTTTAAACATCAAACACATTCATGTTTTCTTGTTTCAACGGATGGCAACATTACTGTTTGCTTCATTTATGTTTAATTGGTATCTGAAATGAAAAAGAAAGATATTGTTTTAGTGGATCAGGTGCCTGGGCAACTGAAGGATGCACTGGTAGATCTATCAGTAAAGGTTTGACAGAATGCAAATGCAGTCATACAACAAATTTTGCCGTTATTCTAAGTTTGCAAGGTAAAATTAAATTTCTATTGAATTTATGTATTCGAGTATGTTTCTGTAAAAGAGATATACAAATGTATAAGATAATACGGAGTCTTATAATTAAATATCAATAACAATATAAGTTTAATATTGTACTACCTAATGATAAACATTGAAAAAACATTCCTGATTTTTATATTTATTTTCAGAAAGTATTTTTTGTACTAACGATTGGTTTAAACATATTGATTCATATCAAGTTACATAGAGGATATTGAATGAGTGTACTTTAATATTAAATTTATTGAACGAGTTAATGAAAAAATAATATTATGCGAGCCTCTGCCGACCATACTATTGTTTTATGCAACGAGTTCAATGAATCTACAAGAATATAATATTCTTTTTATCACATATATAAAATAAGAACAGTAAATTGTTAAAAAGAGTTATTTTTCATTGACTTGCCTAAAGTGTAACGCTAACATTAGCGCGTTTTAACTCTATGTTTATACATGGCGCAAATGACGTCAAAGTGTTATTACACTAGTGTAATATCGTTTTTATTAAATGGCTTTATTACACTCCTGCGCCGCGGTTTTGGTGATAAAATACTATACATCATACAGACAATATATACAATATATTAATAAAGAGGAATGAACTTAAAGCAATTGTCTCCACTGTACTTGATATCAAGTGTAGCAAAGAAAATGATTTGTAAATACCAGCAAACTTGTCACATTTGTAAATCATTTTCAGATTGTGGAGGATTTGGTTCCCTTGCCAATGGTGAGATTGACAACTCTGCTGGCACAAAGTACAAAGCAACGGCAAAGTTCAGATGCAATGCTGGATATGCTATTAATGGTGCTAATACAAGCACGTGTTTATATAATGGCTCCTGGAGCTCACCTGTTCCATCTTGCTCTGTTAAAGGTAACATTTATCATCCATAACCCTGTTTGATTTTTATATTAGTGGTAAATGTTAGAAAACTTATCGATTATTGTTCGGTTATATTGTTATTTTTTTGTAATTTTCTTTTGAAGATTGTGGTAATCTCAGTAATCCATTAAACGGTAATGTATTAACACCTGAAGGAACGACATTTGACAACGAAGCAGTATACAGTTGTGACAACGGATATAATTTAAATGGCACAGAAACCCGTCTTTGTTTATTAAATGGATCATGGTCTTCCACTGCCCCGACATGTATGAAAGGTATTTTTATTTATTGCACTTATTCATTATTCATATTCACGCCAGTATAAATTGTTTTAATGTTAATAAGATTGTTCCATGTATGGGTATGTTTTTGATAGAGGAGCACAATGAATAGATTGTTGGCGGTTCTTTCCCCTAACTTTGTCTTTAAAGGAAAACATGATATAGTTGAATTCTTTCTAGTCACATTATATTTGTTTTATGCAATATAATATTTTCACTTTATCTCTTATTTTATCATTAAAATGAAAATTTTCAATTCAACTAAAACTTTTGTTGTTTCTTTTCCCCTCAAGTCAAATATAACCATCTGAGCGTACGGACGTCGATTCATATAAACTTATGCAAGAAAAGTTTTATAAGGCTAGTCTGGTGTTATTAGCATTTGATGCCAATCATGTTAAGCAGGCTCTCACAAACGACCATCAATACAATCGCAACTACTCGGCCCTATCCGTCAGTCTTCGGATAAGGACCTCGAACAAAATAGTATGAATACACAGGACGTATGCGGTATTTCATTCTAAGCTACGCTAAGAAACTAAACATGTAAACAAATAGTAATTTAATGCTGGGAGTTGTTGACAAATTCGTTTCCAATATAGCAAGTAAATGTCCACCTGTTGACATTCAGTCGGATTTGTTTAAAATTGTATATCACTGGGCATTTGTTAATAAAAAAGTGTTGTAAGAAATAGTTTCCATCGTAATTGTACCGAAACATACCTTTATTTCCTTTGGATGTCAAATATATACATTCGTTTTACATTGCAAACTCTGTGTTTGTTTACATCTGAAACCACGTAGTAGAACTACTTTCAATCCGTCTCGTATCCGATGTTATTATAGATAAGAGCCGTGGTAGTTCCGAATACTATCAATATTGTCGAAAATATGCTCGCATGTTCAATATGGCGCCGAGAATCAAATACTTGTACTTTGATCGTAATAAATTTAATAGAAATGGTCTTGAAAAAGAATTAAACTGTAGATAATGAACAACTTAACAAACTACCAATGCATTGAAGAAGTAACGTTCATATAGTAAATATGAAATAGAGTATGCGACCATCATTTGCACAACATCATATTTGGCTACGAAAAACATGCAGACATTCATTGGACATATTAACGTCTGTGATAATTGCTAATACTTTAGAGCGTTAATCATGTAGTTTCATTATTTATAGATGGACCTAATAACTAGTATTGATCTTACACGAATTTAGTGATGATTATCTCTTCAATATCTTGTAGAAGTACAAACACCTAAAACTTGTAAGCAGAATGTAGACAGTAGAGGACTAACTTGGCCAGAAACAATATCTGGAAATCCTCAGAATAAACGTTGCCAAAGCGGATTTACAGGTATCAGTAGTACTTGTTAGCATTCATTGTAAACTCTTATTGATCTTACCTAATTATTTTCAAAATAATTCAACGTAGTTATTGTGAATAAGGCGTTATATTATATATGTTTATTTTACAGTGAATCCTTTTTGCTGAAACTCGTAGTTTTATATCATTAAAAACTATTTCAAGTCACTGTAGGTAACAAAGAAGTTGATGATTTTGTTTATTATTTTCTTCCATTGGTGTTCCGATATCTTTGTAATTTTCTAAATATTTAGAGCTATCCAAATTTATTCTGTCATAACAGATAAACTAGTTGATTCAGAATATCTTGCTAACGTATTTTATATATTTGCCTTAAAATCCAAAGTATGTTAGCTTGATTTATAATATTCATATATTTAATTACAACAAAACTTTAGGTTCAATATCTAGAACATGTGGTGCTGGCGGAGTGTGGAACTTGCCGCAATATAATTGTGTTCGTGATTCGATAGTAAAAGTTAATGAAAAGGTAAGTGTGTCAATACAATTTTATTCTTGTTTTAGTTAAGCGACAGAATCGTTGATAATTTTGTATTTTAATTGTTTCTTCCGTTGTTATTTTGATGACTTTATTTTTAAATAATGAAGACTTTTCACATTAAAACTGTCACTAAAATGATATGTTTTATTTATTGAAGTAAGCCCTTCTACAAACTGTTTATATAAATAAATTTAAAATTCTTTTTTTCACTACTTAGCTGCTGTCTAGTTAGCTAATTGAAGATTGGTGGGTCTACCCAGCCGCCCAAGTTTGTCTTTAATCAGAATAAAGTGGTACCTTATGTCTTACAATATCCTACATCAACAATAAAACTGGAGTATATCAAATGACTAAAAACCATACAAAATTAATTAGTGCTATTTGACTAATTTTGTACACTTAGGTATCAACGCTAAGCAAAAATGCAACCGGGGATGAAGTCAATACTGTCTTGGAGGAAATTTTAAAAGTGACAACAGTAAATGAAACAACTGATAACAACACGACTTTAACTGATGGCGAATTAAGTGTTCTATCTTCATCGCTTGAGACAGTAGCGGATGTGTTGGCAAATTCTTCTGGAATCATAAATGAAAACATTACTAATGTATGATATGAATACAATTTTTATCAAAATTAGGATCAGTAGTATTAAAGATCTCATTATAAGACATTCAAGACATTTGAAAGAGATTTATCTTGAGAACGAGAGCTATCATGGTAAAGATTTGGATTCACTAATGAAATTTGTTATTTGAATATTCATATATATTATTGCGGTTAAAGGTATTTAATTTTGTATGCAATTTAAATCGTTGAAGTTTCAGAACTTGTAACAAACAACAACTAACATGACTATTGTTGTTTAATAAAGCAATTATAATATTAAGATGCAGTAAAATAAGATTGGTTTAACTCTATTTCCTCTCACTTAAACATTATTGTTTCATAGAGTGTAACTTGATAATTCTCCTTGCTATGTTAAATCCATTTTTGTTTTTCTACGATAGGAATTCCTAGAAATTGCGAGTAATCTTGTCGATGATTCCAATCAGGAGAGTTGGAAGTCTCTTTCTCAGTCGGTATGTACTGTACGAGTCTACGTCCTTTGTATACAATATTTAAGTATCCAGTTCAAATGAGTGACTATTTTACATTAATTTAAAACAACAATCAAACAAAACTTGTATTTTTTTTTAAATAATACATTTAGCATAGTAGACTGAATGCTGATCAAGCAAAAAGTTATTGCACTTTCATTCTCTGGCAGTCAATAAGCCTGTCTGTAATTTTCAAAATGTTTTTTTTATTTCCTCTGAGAATTGTCTCGTATCATGATTTCTTTTTTAAATTTGAGGCAACTTCGGTTATGTCAAATATGTAAACAAAACGTTATGGAACAGGAAAATATTTCAATTTTCTAGGAGAACAATGATGAGTCAGCAAGGGTGCTAAAAGCAGTTGATTCTTTGGCTGTGGTCCTGAGTAATTCCATTGAGGATGGTCCCGAAAATGGCACCCTAATCGTGAAGAAAAATATTGGTATGTTTTAAATATGAGAGTCAATTTGGTAGAGCTAAATATTTTTGAAAATAGAAAATGTATATTTCTAGAATATACAAAAGGATGTTCAAATATGAATTTATCTAGAACATTATGTTGTTTAACATTAAAAAGACAACAAAAAATCAAAAGCACATAAACACTCGCACACGCACATGCGCACACGCACACACAAGGAAATTAGGATTATCGGGTAGATATACATGTTAGCTTTACATTGATACCGCATTCATCAAAATCTGTTTTTAGCTGTGTTTATAGCTCGCATTATAAACTCAAATCGTATACAGTAATAATAGAAATGTTTGGTAAATAAGGAGTATACCATTGGAATAATGTCTTATACAAAGAATTGTAGTTTCCTTGGCATAGGGTGTAAATGCATTTCTGTAGATGGATTGTTGTTAAAACAATATCCAAATTACAATGCACGGTCTTTTGTATATGTCGTTTATGTTGATGAACATTGGTTCATTTTTATTAGCCAAAACGAAAGCACCAAAAAACAAAACAAAAAAACCCACAAAAAACAACACAATCGTGGCTGCAAAGTCTGGAAATTACCATGCATTATATAAAAGACCATTTTGTTTGCAACTCAAGGCCCCGCCATTCGGGTTGATGTTTCTCCTCAAGGCAAATATGTAAATGAAAAATTTTACATGACAAAAGTTCTTCCAAATTTAAACAAATACTTTAAAAAACGGAAGACTCGCGATAGGTTTTGCAAATGTCGTATTGCTGCATAACGACGCGTCATCGCACAAAGCTCTTATAGTGCAAAACTTTCTGAAGCAGAAAAAGATCGTTGCACTTCCCAATCAGACCTTACCCCTTGTGACTTGCTTATAATGCCTTTCAGGCCGAAATTTGTTCAGGCCAATATTCCAGTGTCTTAAAAATAAAGTGTACTTAAAAGACTATTAATATGTCTTTGTGATTAGCCTGTCCGTGTTCTACCTTGTGCCCTGTCCTGTTTTTTTTTGGGGGGGGGATGTCCACCTGGCGTTCTTGCCACTGGTTTCGTTCATTTAACGCCGCCTTTCCTTGTTGATCTTGTTGATCATATTTCAAACATTGGGCCCGGACATTAAAAAATTGTATACATTGTATCCGTTTGAGGTAAATACTTTGAGGGAACAAAATGAAAATAAAATCAGTGAAACCTATAGAGAATCATTTTTTACGTGCTGAGATGCGTTCAAATTTGAACACTCCCCGTGAGTATGAAAATTATCAAAAGTATACGCGAAGTCAGCCAGTCTTGTAATTGTCTATCTCGGGTAATTTTAATAAAAGGCACAGAGACTGGTTTTTCTATTTTCAAAATATTCTTTAATTACATGCAAAATAAAAAGCCAGTGGATATATAATTATATTTTACTTAAACAGGTAAAATTGTGTTGATAATCGACTTTTTCATAAATACAACGAATTGTTGTCTGTTGGATACATTTAATATACTCTTATTTTACTAAGGACATTTGCAGGTAATCATCGAAACCGCAAATTAAACAGTTTCATACGTGGCCAGAAAACATCAGGCACAATATCCTACTTACCATTTTGTGATAATTGAAAATCATTTTCAAAAGTATGCACATAACATTGATTTTGTACATTTACAGCGATTGATGTAAAGAAAGTTTCTAACAAAGGTGTATCATTTCCGGATCCAGACAAAACAGTGTCGGACAAAGATGATGCAAACGCCGACTGGTTTAAACAGGCCAGGAGCAGTTTACGCTTAGAAGCAGCCGCTTTGAAAAGTATTATTTCAGGCTACATATATACTGCACACATTAATATGTTAACAATTCGTTTCGTCACATAATTCAATATTTACTTTTTTATTTTGTTTATACTATTTTTAGTTTATTATACAATGTTGAGTACAATACAGAGTTCTTTTAGAAGAGTAAAGAGCCGAGTGCGAGTCCAAAACAATCAGTATTGTTCTCAGCAATGTATAATGACCGTTTTAATTCACATAATTATTTTTTGACATTTTGTCAGAAAGAAAGTTGCTACTTCAAGTACAATGATTTATTGACCAAGAAAATAAAATTGAGGCTTGACTGAGTACGATATGCACATGATATAGATAATTTGAAATGCAAATGAAAACGAGCCTATATAGGTTTTATATGCATTTAAATCGGATTTTCTGAACAATGTCATGGAAACAAGGCTATATGAGATATTATATGTATTTGATGAGGATATCTTTTGGACCTTGATCCAATAGTGATTTCAGTTGGAACATGACATAGTTCAAACGTAGAAAGTTCACTGGTTATATCTTATAATATGTGAAATAAAGTCAAAAATTTAAATAGTGTTTGATTGACGTTCTTTTAGTAACATTTTCTTTTTCAAAAGAAGATATACCGCTTCCGCAGACATTGACCATGCATTCATTTATTTTTTTTCCGAAAATTAAATATATATAAACTTCAAAAATATTAAACAGCACATTCTACTCTATTTCAGATACATCAGTGCAATACGCTACAACAGCCGTCATGTATAGAGATTTGTCGAAAATCTTGCCAAACAAACGAAACAATACAAATAACAAGTAATGGCTTTCTTTTTTTAACATACTTAATTGTGTAATATTGGAACATTTAGAAAGATTGTTTTACATAATTCGGATTGATCATGATTTGATTATACCCGGTTTTGAATAACATAATATTATGGTAAAGCATTTCTTTGTTTGATGAAATACACAATTGTTCCATGAAATGTAGGCAAGTTATGTAATACGTCAAAAGCATGCAATTCAGACGTTGTTTATTCAGTTGTACTTGATTGTGTTTTATTATAATAGACACGTCTCTATGACCCTTACGTTTTGTTTGTTGTAAAAGAAGGATTTCTCATATCGTATTGTAATCATTATCTTTCCTTTTCCAGAGCCCTATACTATTAGTATATATTTAACAAATACTTAATAGTATGAATACATGTTTTATATATGTTGTATATCTCAAACAATATTTTCAATCCAAACATTTGTTTTGTTACAGTGCGGAGGATACTGATGATGTTATAAATGCACCCATTCTTTCGTTGACAATTTCACCACCAGTGTCGGATAAATTGGACCCACCACTCCAATTGAATTTTACTCATGACATGGTAGGAACTTTAAAGTCTATTAAATTAGAAAAGCTATAAATCACTAGATCATAAAAATATTTCTTGTTGTATAAAAAAATATATCGACACCGATAATGGTTATATTCAATGCGTATCAGAAAGCAGTAATGTATGTTATAAGGATCGTACACCGGCTTCCAGTACAGTGCAAAATATCTATCATATTTCAGAAAGAAATTATTAAAGAAAGACTCGCATTAACTTCTCACTTTTTGTCTTCTTATAGCATATAAATTAATAACTTCATTCATACCGGAAAAATGACATCACTCTCAGAACGTAATCCATTTAAAAACGGCACGCGGGAATGCCGTCATTTAATGAACGTTACTTTTTTCTTACACGAGAGATGTTACAGACGTTTTCTTTGCAACGGCAGTTTTGCTTGAATTGCAAGAAAAGCATCGTCTCAAGAGTTTTGCTTAAAGTTTTTAAGTTGATGTATTTTGCTTAATAATTGATTCTCATCAATTGAAGATTGAAACACTTTGTATAAAACAGTTTAAGTCAATGTAAATATTGTTTTCTTCTTTCATTAAGATACATCGTGCTTTGTGTCTTTTCTGTGTCTTTAATATAGATAATTATACCCCCCTTCGAAGAAAAGGGGCATATTGTTTTGCTAATGTCAATGTGTCTGTCGGTCTGTCTGTCGGTAGACTACATGGTTTCCGCAGATTTTTAAAAAACTATTTATCACAAAGTCTTCATATTTCACATAGTGATTGGTCATAACTAGTTGATGACCCCTATAGATTTTCGGGTCACTAGGGCAGAGGTCAATGTCACAGGGGCCTTAAATATCAGAATTGTTTCCGCTGACTATCTTGAAAAATATTCATCAAAAAGTCTTCATATTTCACATTTTGATTGGTCATATCTAGTAGATGACCCTATTGATTTTGGGTCACTAGTTAAATGTCAAGGTCACAGGTGCTTAAAATGACGTAATGGTTTCCGCACATTATCTTGAAAACTATTATCACAAAGTTTTCATTATTGTTTAGCTTTGCCTTAATTGAACACTTCCATGTACCCATTTATGGCAAGTTTCTATAACAAAATTACCAATAATGTGAGACAAGGGCGAAAAAGTGGGGCATATGTGTCGTTCGACATTTCGTGTTTACAAGTAATCGAAACTGAAATATTTTCTTGATATCAAATGGGGTCATCCTCGTCAATACTTTAGCATTTATATAATAAATGATTATTTAGACTTTGTCTTTCATAAAACACCTAGTAGCATTGTACATGTATGACACGTTGAGTCTTCCCAATGCCATGGACTTAATTAATTCATGTAATAGACTCAATTCATATTTAATATTATAGCCATTGTTCATTTGTTATCATCCTGCAAGATGTTGTTAACATTTACTTCTATGCTGTCAAAACTGATGGTTATTCTCTGATTTAACCTTCAATTGTATATATGTATATCAAACGCTTGTTCAATTCAAATTTTAAAACAGATGCTCCTGTCTTATATTACAGACTAATTTCTCCAATCCATTGTGTTCGTATTGGGCATTTCCAAAGTAAGTAAGCTTCTATAATTATGAATGTATACGATATAACTCATGAAATGTTTAACAAATTATATTAAGTATTATGAATGACTTTTGTATCGATATCATATAGTGTTTTGGAGATAACAAATGTATGTACTTCAAGTAGGTGCTAAAGCGGAAAGAAATCATTTTGCTGTTCTGTAGTTAGCATTTGACATTCAAAAGTTCTAGGTACAAACTTGTCGTACATAAAATTATGTTTTATGTTTTTCTGATTTGACTGAAATTTGCAGAAGTCTTTTTTTATTATGCCCCCCTTCGAAGAAGAGGGGGTATATTGTTTTGCTAATGTCGGTCTGTCTGTCGGTCTGTCGGTCCGTCGGTCTGTCGGTATGTCCGTCGGTAGACCACATGGTTTCCGCTGATTATCTTATCTTGAAAAGTATTTATCACAAAGTCTTCATATTTCACATAGTGATTGGTCATAACTAGTAGATGACCCCTATTGATTTTGGGGTCACTACGTCAAAGGTCAAGGTCACAGAGACCTTAAATGTCAAAATGGTTTCCACTGATTATCTTGAAAAGTATTATCACAAAGTCTTCATATTTCACACAGTGATTGGTCATAACTAGTAGATGACCCTGTTGATTTTGGGGTCACTAGGTCAAAGGTAAAGGTCACAGGGGCCTTAAATGTCAAAATGGTTTCCGCTGATTATCTTGAAAAGTATGTATCACAAAGTCTTCATATTTCACATAGTGATTGGTCATCATTCGTAGATGACCCCTATTGATTTTGGGGTCACTAGGTCAAAGGTCAAGGTCACAGGGGCCTTAAATGTCAAAATGGTTTCCGCTGATTATTTTGAAAAGAATGTGTCACAAAGTCTTCATATTTCACATAGTGATTGGTCATCACTAGTAGATGACCCCTATTGATTTTGGGGTCACTAGGTCAAAGGTCAAGGTCACAGGGGCCTTAAATGTCAAAATGGTTTCCTCTGATTATCTTGAAAAGTATGCATCACAAAGTCTTCATATTTCACATAGTGATTGGTCATCACTAGTAGATGACCCCTATTGATTTTGGGGTCACTAGGTCAAAGGTCAAGGTCATAGGGACCTTAAAATTTCAAAATGGTTTCCGCTGATTATCTTGAAAAGTATGTATCACAAAGTCTTCATATTTCACATAGTGATTGGTCATAAGTAGTAGATGAACCCTATTGATTTTGGGGTCACTAGGTCAAAGGTCAATGTCACAGGGGCCTTAAATGTCAAAATGGTTTCCGCTGATTATCTTGAAAAGATTTCATATTTCACCTAGTTATTGGTCATAAGTAGAAAATGACCTCTGTTGATTTAGGGATCATTAGGTCAAAGGTCAATTTCACATGGGCCTTAAATGTCAAAATGGTTTCCGTTGATTTTTTTATAATTGAACACTTCCATGTACCCATTTTTGGCAAGTTTCTGTAATAAAATTACCAATTATGTGAGTTAATGGCTAGAAAGGGGGGTATATGTGTCGTTCGACATTCTTGTTATATCATAATGTTTATATTTTTAAAGTGGTAAAATTGGACAAGGCTTTTGGTCATCAGAAGGGTGTATTGTGAAAACTACAAATACTAACTACACAATTTGTCAGTGTGACCATCTGACCAACTTTGCTGTTTTGATGAGCCCTTTTGTAGAGGTATGTTTGTGCGTATTTAAATATTTAAACTTGTTTTATCCACTTATGTTCATTTCATATAAATGTGTTGCAAGGGTTTAAACAGTCATGATTAAAACTGATATGGTGAATTAACATTATGAGATTTATGCGCATCAAACATTTATTAGAAAGTTTTACATTATATCTATTTATATTAGTTTAAAACATTACTCAATTATTTAGTAGGACACACTTCAAATCTTTGCAATGGTATAAATTTACTTTGATAATTCTAGATAACTGTTTAACACGAAAACGGAACGCAATTAAGCAATGTATTGTATAACACATTAATTCTTACGTTTCTAGGCAGATGCAGCATCCAAAGCACTCCGAATAATTTCTATGACCGGTATCGGGATCTCAATAGTTTGTTTAACTGTTACCCTTATCGTTCACATTTTCTTTTGGAAGTAAGATTTTATTTTTTCTAGGGGTTCAATGTATCAAAATCCAAGACTTAGATCAAAATCCAAGGCTAGGACGTTAATTTTCTGATATCTAATTTCTTAGTTGTTGTGGATTCATGCACGTATTACTTTTGTGTAAAAGTTTTATTGCTTCAGTTTGTTTAAGAAAATTATGTACATCCCTAAATAAAGAACATCATTTTCTATATTTTAAGTATCATGAACAGTCAATATTATTAAACGATAAGGTATTAATGAAATCAAAATGTACAGTATTAATATACAACATACGTCCATGTATTAAAAAATATGTTCACTTTCTTTTGAACCAAAGGTATCTGCGGAATGATCGCACCACTGCCTTGGTAAATTTGTGTGTAGCCCTTTTACTTTCCTACATTCTATTTTTGGCGGGAGTCGACAGGACCGAAAGTAGTGTAAGAACTTATTTCTCGTGACTATTAAATACGTTATCTATTTGAATTTTCTTTGATCCATATATATATACGATCGTATATAGCATATCAATTTATTAAAGTTAATTAAAGGCACATTAATGATAGCAGAGATCGTACGGCGAGGAAAATTGTTCATTGAATGCAGCAGTTATCAATATTAGGTGTACATATCTTGAGCTCTGCCTTTTGAATTAATCCTTTGAAGGCATGCAGATTAGTCATGCTTTAAAGCTTATAAGTTTAAACAAAGAAGATATTGTATTAACTTGTACGATATCAGTTTTCCTTAAAGTTATCAATGTATCAATTTTATACAATTTTGTTCTTGCATCCGTGCGATTAACATGTATATTAGCTAATGCAATTTAGATATCTATATATGTTTTCAGCGTTGGACATAACTACATATCAAGTAATAATTGTATTGTCTCGTTCTTGTGATATCGAATTATTTTTTATATCCATTTAAAAATTGAATATTGTTTTTGCATGTACATACTGCTTTTTAACTTTTGCATGTTTATTTATTTTCTACCAGACGTGAAATGACTTCATAGTTATTGTCGGGTCAAATTGTAGAATTTTGCATGTTTTTTTCTTTATATATAAGTCTGTAAAGAAAAAAGTTTAAAGATTTATTTAAGTTTCTGTTTACATGAATAAAATGAAAACGTTCTTGTTTCTAGCATGTTGTTAAGAGTTTAAACACAGTGAATTAAACATGTAAAATTGCAAACATAGCCCATATTCTTGTAGTGAGGGGACACAATATGGTGATAAGAATATGAATGCAAATAGTGTCTAGAATTATAAATATGTCATTTTAGTGTACTTTGATTAATTTGTAGAATAATCTGGGGGATGTAACTGTATTCAAATATTTTTATATCAGTGTTATATGCATATATGTTTAAATGAGGTATTTGCCTGCAGGTCGCATGTGCTGTTATTGCTGCTGTGTTACAGTATATATATTTGGTTGTGTTCTGCATTATGCTGGTGGAAGGCATTGAAATAGCTATCACTGTACTATATGTGTTCAAAACAAAGTCAAGAATAAGAATCATGCTTATATTTGCTTGGGGTAAATCCGAATTTAAATTCTCATTTTGATTAAATTGTTGTTGATAACTTAAAATATTGTGTTATAATTTTCAATACGGACGTTCAACTAAAGATAAAACTAATATAATTAAAAACTTTGCAATATTTTACATTGTTTCTCATCAATAAATTTGATGATGTTATTGAGCCATTTCTTTTTGTTTTTCACTTTTATCGAGTGTTCTGCCATATTGATATCGAAAAGTTCAAGATATTTCTAAACATAAATGTCCGTACATGACTGTACTTTAACCTTAGCTTGATGGTAGGTTTTAGAGTCAATATAGATGGTCTCACATCTGAATAAAGAAACCATTGAAACATTCTTAACCGAAAAGTAGCTAATCAGGGGTCATTATACATTATACTATAACATTTCTTTTTCAACACTTAACAATACCTTTGTGTAATGAGCAACAAAATGTAATTGCAGCACTTTTATTGCAAATGTTTATGTTTCCTTTAATATTTACGAGCCCCATCATTATTGATTCACTTGATATCAGCTTTGTTATTATCAACGGTAATCATTTAAAATCTGTTTAAATACTTTTGACAGGTTATATAAGTGTTTGTTTTGCACATGTTATTACTTGTGTTTACAGTGATACCTGCCATTATTGTGGGAATTTCTCTCGGTGCTACACAAGCTAAAGGCTATGGCAACGACAATTTGTAAGAAACTACTTTTATTTAAAACAATTTAAAACAAGACTTGTACGTTTTTGATAAATGATTTTTATAAATCAATTTTGTTTTCATCTCCCGCAATTTATTAAAGTTTGATGTGAATAAACATTGTATTGTTATCAGATTATAATTATTAGTTTTTTTGTTGATTTTAATAACTTTGCAACGCATCATTTATTTATTTTAGTTGCTGGCTGTCTGTTGAAAATGGCTTGATTTGGTCCTTTGTTGGGCCTGCATTAGGTATAATTACTGTAAGTATGATCAAGAGTCCAATGCGTATGCGTTTTAATTTAACATAGTTACGTGCATTTGACTGGCCAATAGTGGCGTTACAGGTTAGAAACGTTAATAGCATGAATTTGAGGAGTCTATTTGTTGGGGAGATTGGTTAAGACTAGAAGATGGCCCTTATTTATTTTGAGGTAGCTCAATAGGTCAAAGTTAAGTCACCGTGGTCTTGACCACTGGTAGCTTGTTCGACTAATAACTAGAAAACGCTTTGTCCAACAGTATTTTGAATCGGTATGGTGGTTAGCATAACAAAGAAATAACTATTGATTTTAAGTATGACAAAGTTCAAGTTCACTGTCGTTGTTGTTAACATCACATTCCAAAGCTTTTGTTTGAATTGTTTGGATGTTGGTTATGGCTGGATAATGAACACTATTTAATTTGTGGTTAATAACGACTAATAATTACACATATGGTCATGGTCACGGTTGCATATAAGCAATGACAAGAGATTTAGTGTGAAAGATGATCTTGAATAGACGATAATCCTTTTTGATTTGAATGTCATAGGGTCAAAATCTAAGGTCACTATGACAAGATTTGTAGAAATCCTGTTATTTTTATTACTTGAAAAGGAATAATGCTAAGTTTTATGAACTTAGTTATGTGCACAGTCCTTGTCTTATCAATTACTTAAAGTTTATTTACATTGCCAATGATATGAAGGAGGCACCTATTGACCTTGAGATCATTAGGTCAAGTTAACTGTTACACATGAAATACGTTTTTAATAAAGATCAAGAATGTCCTCGGTCATAGGGTTGTATTCAAAATTCTCAGAGAGAGCAAATGAAGTAGGGACATAATGTCCTATGGACACATTTCTATAATGTAAAGTAAATGCTTAAAATGGCCTTCTTAAGGCATTTTGTGTGAAAATGAAGCATTATGTTTGCCAAATGTTTTCAAATAACTAGAAGTGAGGGACAGTCATAGTGTTCAGTGTATATTATTTTAAACAAATTGAAGGATCTTTCATTTCTATTTCAGTTCAATGGAATATGCTTAATTATTGTGATTCGCATAATGTTCAAAACTAAAGCCATGGAGACGAAGACAGTTTCGGAAAAAATAAAGTAAATATTACTCAGAACTGCAACACATTATTTTTTTAATGAAAATGTTTATTTTACCAAAACTTAAAGATCGAATATGTTGAGTATCAGTTTAAATATATGAAGAATAAATAACTTTCATTTGTGTCTTTCTCGTAAAGTATTTTTGCATTTTCACATTTTCATGTTGAATTAGGATACACGACGTGTTCAGATTATCATCTCTTTCACACATAAATGAATTTATTTTAGTATAATTACAGTTTAAAACTGAAAATAGAAAACAAAAAAGGTTAACATAAAAGTGATTGCTTATTTCATGTGTTTCAAATGAGTAAACAAAAATTCTTATACGTAAGATGCTTACTTCTAATCAGTCTCTACAATGAACAGATAATTATACGGATCACATCTTGTCTGATAAAGAACTGATTTTCTTCAGAGATATTATAGTTCCGATCCTTAAGGATCGTTCAGCACGACATTATTGTTGTGCTTGTGGTTCTTTTAGTTTTGACTTTTCGGCATTTTCTAGTTGGGTGGTTCCAATATTCTTACTTGAAAAATGTTGAATCACCCTTAGGATATGTTGCTTGCTTTTGAACTTGTCTTTTGACGTCTAATCTGTGATATGCAGGCTTCATAACCTCATGATTCCATTTTATTTAGTTCCGCCCATTGTTTTCTCGTTTAGGGCACACGCTTTTCATTACTTGGGGATCATACGCCGCTTTTCGTGGAATGACACGGAAGTGTCACATTGAAGGTTCCATGATAACCGCCGTATGAACACATCTGCGGATGTTTCTTAATTCTAAATTTTACTATTTCATGTTTAAATGTTGAATTCAGCTTAAGCCGGTGCTAAATGGGGCGTGTACGGTAGTTTGCACTTTACAGTACCGTCCATGAACAGGCTTAATCAAACCGAGCCTGCAACATTTTCAATTTTGCAGGGTTGGTCTTTCTTTAGGGATTCTTATTTTCTCTATTTTATTTATGCAGAACAAGCTTCCGGTCATTATGTGTGCTAGTTCCTGTTATGGGAGTGTCCTGGATTCTAGGAATATTCTACGTGAATGATAGCTTTTACTTCATTCAGTATATTTTTGCAATACTAAATGGACTTCAGGTAGGTTAATATGTGGTGATAGAGAAATGGGTATTTTCCTTATTTAATTGCTACTTGGTCATGTTGCAAAAATATAAACTTCATTTAACAATATGTGAAATGATATAATATGATCATAACTAATCATGACTACCAGATACATTTGTAAAATAGTTGTTTATTTACTCTCCGAACACGCTTTTCTCCGGTTTTTTTTATCTATATTAGCCATAATCAATTAGTATTTTAACTATATTCCATATGTTTAACATCGGAATTTTGAAAGTGTCTGATGAGCTGTTAGCTGTTTAAAAAGTTATATTTGAGAAACAATGTTATCTTATATTAAATTATTAAATATATTCTAAATCGTTATTCTTTCTTTTCAGGGATTTTTTATATTTTTATTTCATTGCCTTCTAAATGAACAGGTAGGTAATTACATTCGTTCACCGTTTAAGTAAAAAAAAATCAAGATCACTATAAAATAAAGTGTTAAATAGAATTTCCGAACGAGCATATGATGTAGTCGGCGTTCATTGAACGCCGCCTTTCTTTGTTGATCTTGTTTATCATATTTTATTAGCATTTATCTACATAAACCTCAACAGAAAACTACAATGTACAATGGTGAAACTAATGCAAATATTCTTTTAAGGTAAAGAAAGCTATTCAGCTTAGAAACAGAAGGAGATCATCGGTTAAAGAAACGTTGAAAAGCACGTTGGTAAGCGTAAAATATTAACGCCTATAACAATGTCGAATGTATGCAGGACTTAATGTTATACGTTAATAATTTTTTATTCAGGACATTTAGTGTAGTTTATCGATTTTGTTGTTAAAAATGAATAGTCATGTCCTTTCTAAGTTCTTCTCTATTTAAAGATTAGCAGAAAGAATATTATATAATTATACATAATTATGTTTTATTATATGATCCATAAAAAGCTTGGAAATGCTTTTCCCTGATTGGCTAAAAAGTAATTTTCTGTAGTAAATAACAGGTAAATTTCAGTATATTTTATAACCTATAAATAAATTTGAAATGTCTTTCACTGATTAGCGAAGAAGTTACTTTTTTTAAAACAGAACATGTTAATAGCATAGTATGTTCACTGTTCTTTTCCTAATAATAGATTTTCAGAATATTTGCACCGTTTGTTTTCCCTCTAAAAATACACTTCTTTAAATCCTCCATACGACGCCAGGTATGACGTGACGTCATATCCAGATTAATATTATTCTGAAAAAGAAACGTTGGGTGGCTCGCAAATGAAAGTCGATTAGTCTATTTTAGTTGCCGTCTTTATTTTTTCTAAGGACATTACGAATTGAGCGTAACCATGCGCTTTTTAAAAGATAAGGGTCAAATATTTGAAAACATTTACAAGCTGAAGAAATATCGACTTCCGTCGTATTCAATGCCAGATTTGATATGCCATATAAAAACTATAATAAAACAGATATGTTCGTATGTATATGATATGAGAGAGCTGAAAAGTCCATACTTATATACATAATGCAATAGCTTAGTGTTTAATAGAGATGGTTGATTTTAAGTCCATCAATTTTGTTTATATTTCAGAGGAGTACTTCGAAAGATGAAAGGAAGTCGAAAGACCTTAAAGGTAAAAAGGTTGACGTGCCATCTTTATGTTTTGAATTTTTTTATTTCCAACATGGGCTAACTTTCGTAAACCGAAATTCGTTTATTAAACATTCAAATGATTAACGATTAAGGTTCCAACGAGATAAAAAATAAATGTTCATGTTATTGCATTACTTACTTGCTGTGTTAAGCTAACATCATCCAAAATAATTGTTCGTGAAAACCTTGCATTAGTTCCGATGTTAATCGATTTAACACCGTATATGTTTGTATCTGTGCTGTTTTGTTGTTTTTTATATAAATCTAGTGCATTTAAGAAACACTATTATTCTACTTTTCGTTATTCTAGAATCAAGGAAATCATTTATTGATAGTGGCGATTTTACTACTCGAAATGACAGTGATGGTTGGAAAGATAAGGTATGTAATATTATATTAAAATATATTTATTTTGCTTTTTTTCCACACTAAATATCGTTTGTTTATCTACATTTAATATCGTTTGTTTATTTTAAACATTTTCTTCCAATTTTAGATAATTAATACTCAATACCCGTCGCCGGATGTGAAGTTTGCAACGCCGCTGGGATTTTATGGAAATGGTAGACGAGCAGCTACATTTTCTGTTGAATCACGTGACAAATTAACTGGTCATGTTTCAAAATCAGCCTCAAACGCCTCACAGAAATCCAGTGGTCATTTAGAGGCTAATTTATTTTCTGCAAGACTTTGATAATGAAGACACATGATTCAATGTAAACCACTATAAGATGAAAAAAGTTTAGTGTTATAACGTGTGTATCTGTTTTGATGTTGCTTTTTTATCTATATAAACAAAAAAGGTCAAATGTGTCAGTTTAAAACATTATCAATATCCTTGTTGTTGCTTAGTGCATTTAGTTATCCATATTATTTAAATTGTGCGAGTATTAATGTTTTCCTCAATTGTTATCAAAAGCCAAAAATTATTGTGCTGTAAAAAGTGGCCCATAACCAAATTACCTCCAATTATTCTTGCAAACTTTGCATTGGGAAAGTTCTGCTCATAGCCGAGGCATCGGCATCAAAGTGCCTGGTTAAAGGTTTTTTGTGATTATAAAGATTATCATCTATTTTACTCTTTACAAGATGTAAACGATTCATATATATCAAACTTTATAAAGTTGTACACATACAGTTCAAAATCATCAATATTTCAATTTCAGAGAACAATAACCAATATAGTAGCCACATTATTACTCTCCTGTTAGAACTTCCGTCCGTAACACTTTCGTGTCCGCTCTATAACTGTTAAACCGTTGATTTTCTTTTTAAAAATAACTTGGCACAAGTGAGTACCATTATGAGATGATGTGCAGAGCCAACTAATTTGGCTGCTACCCCCAAGGTCAAGGTCACAGTTAAAGGTCCAGTGTTTAAAAGTCTACATTACATGTCCGCTCCATACATCTTAAACCGCTGATTTTTTAAAAAAGAACTTGGTACAAGTGATCACCATTATGAGACGTTGTGCAGAGCGCAATAATTGAGTAACTAACCCAAGGTCAAGTTCACACTTGAATGTCAAGTGTTAAAAGTGTACATTTTGTATCCGCTTTACCACTTTAAAACCGCTGAAATGTTTTTGAAATAACTTGGCACATATGATCATCTTAATGAGACGATGTGCAGAACGCAATATTTGGGTTGCTATACCTGAGCTCAAAATCACACTTAAAGGTCAAGTGTTAAAAATCTACATTTTATGTCCGCTCCATAACTTTTAACTGCTAAAAAATTTTGAATGATCACTATTATGAGACGATGTGCGGAGCGCCATAATTGGTTTGCTTACCTTAAGGTCAAGGTCACACTTAAAGGTCAAATGTTAAAAGGTGCATTTCGTGTCTACTTATAACATTTAAATCGCCGCAATATGTTTAAAATTACTTGGTAAAAATCATCACCATTATGACACGATGTGCAGTACCCAACATCCAGGTTGCTACACCAAATTCAATGTTCAATATTCTCCATAACGTTTTGACTTTCTGGAATGTTTCAAATAACTTGGCACAAATAATTACTATCAAGATCATGGTTTGTTACAAGACAAGAAGTACACATTCATGTCCGCTAAGGAAAGGGATTTAGCTGTCCGTCAGACTGCCTTGTATCACCTTGTTATTAATATGGCGATTAAGAAAAAAATGTTTTGTGTAAATCATATCTATTTTTCCTCATACTAAATTAAAAACTGAATGTATTTTTAGCTCGACTATTCGATAAGAATAAGTAGAGCTATTGTAGTCACCCGAGCGTCGGCGTCAGCGTCGGCGTTGGTGTCCGCATCGGCGTAACCACTTATGTTAAAGTTTTTGTAATACCTCGAATATTTTCAAAGTCCATTGACATATGGCTTTGAAACTTTGCACACTTGTTTACCATCATGACCCCAACCTGTAGACAGGAGGAGGTAACTGTATCAAGCATTTTGACAGAATTATGCCCCTTTTTCGACTTAAAATTTACGTTAAAGTTTTTGTAATACCTCAAATATTTTCAAAGTCCATTGACATATGGCTTTGAAACAAGTTGAAATTTTATAGTCTTATTTGAGAGCATAATAGGACTCTCTCTAAGGCATATATCTGTAATATGGATTTAAAGAAAAATTTTACCCTTTTTTTACGTAGAAAATTTTACATTATCAAGGTATTTTTACTATCAAGCACTAAGAATAGTCGAGCCTTGCTGTCCTACCGACAGCTCTTGTTTGTATAATGATACCTGTTTTGTTTTGTGACTGCGTGCATTTACGACTAATCGTATTAAAACGATCATAAAATGACATCATCAGTATTATGTTGTTACTCTCATTTCATTTTTTCACATGCTTGATGTTTTCTGTTGGTATTTGTTGCTGATTAATATGGTTTTTAGATGTATTCTTATTTTCTGTTCAATTAACATTTAGCTGCTACAAGTTAAATAATCTCAATATACGCTTCTTTGTTGGTCTAAGTAACCTATCATGTTTACCATAATGACAAATTTACTATTTGCAATTCATAATGTGCCAATACTTTGTCCTTATACATTTATACTTTTTTCAATCATTTATAAATAATTATGTATTATAAAATAAAGAATCAGATACATACTTTCTTTACTGTATTTTCTTTTATTGTGAACTTCGTTGTTGTAAGAAACACAAATTTCTCAACTTTTTAAAATTTAACTCCCGTTGACGTTGATTATTATAAGACATTTTAGCTAATTTCTAGCTTTATTGATAGACGAAGAGTTTATCTTTCTAAATCTACAAAGGTGCGAAAGTTGAT